CCTACAAGTCAAGATAATCACCCTATGATATCATCGGTCCTCTTTGAAAACGATGATGGAACAATATCAACAATATTTCCTACAGAGCAGAATTTAGTATGAGGCAGTTCCATCTTAGAGCCTCTTCAAAGCAGGGCTACTAAAAGGATTGTTACAGGGAAATTCCACCTACCAGGTATGAACCCAGGGACGGTCCTAGTGTATTGCTGTTAATCAAGAAGGTACTCTCCATTCTAAGAATATAGTGGAGAGTTCTGGATTTAAGAGTCTGAAAAACCTAAGTTCCAGTCCCACTCCAGACATATCATCAAAATATCTATAGTGTAGATCTCATTGGAAGAGACCTCAGGTACAGGTCTTCTAGTCCAAACTCTCACTTTTTACAGATAAAAAAAAAAAACTAAGAACCAGAGAATTAAGAGACTGGCATAGCTTTACACAGCCAGCACAGCCAGGTTTCAAAGCAGGTTCCTAGGATTCCAAATCATGCTGCTGTGTTTACCCTGAGGCAGCATGACATAATGAACAGTAGGGTAGGCTTTGGCTTCATGAAGATCCAGATTCAAGTCTTGCCTCTGACATCTCATTGACCATGGGCTTAACCTCATTACCCCCAGGCAATTCTGTTAATTTGCAGCAGAAGTTCTTATTTTTAAAATATTTTGATAATAGGATTTCAGTAGAGTTGGTTTTCTTTATATTCCTATGTATTTTATTTAGGCATTTAAAAACATTCTGAGAAAGGGGTCCATAGGCTTCACCAGACTGATAAACATAAGGTCCATTACACAAAAAAAGTTAAGAACCTTTTATTTACAGTTGCTGATCTCTATTGGTGTTTGGAGTTTCCACACACATATACAGAATGATTAAATCACAGATCTGGGATATGAGTATTTTTTTAAGTTTCTCATAGATAATGGACTCAAAGTAGAGAATGAGACATATCTTTTGGATATGGCCAATGCAGGAATTTTGCTTGACTATACATATGTTACAGGGGTTTTTTTCTTTTTTAAAAAATGCGCAAGAGAAAGAAGTGGCAGAGAAAATACTTTGTTTAAAAAAATTAAGTGCCATTAAGTAAGCTAATACTAAGTGCTTTGCAAATCCTACTAAAGTGATACATAAAATACTAGCTATTATTCTCATCACGGCTGAAAGTATGTGTATGGTTTCATTAGATTGCTAGCACAACCGAATATATGAGAAGATTCTGATGTAAGAAAGAAACAAATGAGGGGCATCTAGGTGGCACAGTGGATAGAGCACTGGCCTTGAAGTCAGGAGGACCTGAGTTCAAATCCAGGCTTAGACACTTGACATTCAGTAGCTGTGTGACCCTAGGCAAGTCACTTAACCCCGACTGCCTCACAAAAAAAAAAAAATCTGATGGTGAGCTAAAATCAACCAGCTGTTTCTTTGTTATTCCTTATACTAAGACAGACCTTGATACCACTATTCTGATCACTGTCCATGAGAGCTCTCCTGGTCTTGCACAATTTGCCCCTTAGTGAATCCATCCCAAGTATCCTCCAAGATGGCATCTTCATGTGAAACCCACGGAAAAAGTACCCGATATACTTTTGTTTCATTTGTGTCAAAATAATTTAATCTTAACATTGATATAAACTGTAGTTCCTTTTGGGAGGTTAAGATTAAGTGTATCATTGGGTGTGATAGGATGTACCATTTCAGTTTTCATTACTATACATGCAGAATTTACATTAAGTCCAAGGAAGTTAGAAATTCAATTGGCAAAGCTAATAATCAAACATTTCTGTAGCTTTTCTTCAGTAATTGGTTGTTTGGTTTTTTTCTTGGTCCACAGTGGAGAAAATCCTTTTGCTACTGTGAAACTCCGACCAACAGTGACAAATGACAGGTCAGCACCAGTAATTCGATGAATGAGTCAAGAAAGTGATACCCATCATTATTCCTCATGTAAACTACATGTTCGATGTTATGATTATCTTGTTTAACATCTGCTTTCATTGTATAGGAATGGAATATATAACAAAGGTTTTTCCAGTTTTCAGTGAATCTGTTAAATTAAGGAAATCATAATTGCTCATAAGATTTGAGAGTGAGCTCACTTCTGTCTTTAAGTGAACATAATATATTGTAATAACCACCATAATTAATAACTTAAATGTTTTCTTGTTCATCTGTTTGGCAAACCAATAGACTGTTCCATTGATTCTCTGGGGATTGTAGCATTCTATTTTTTAAATGCATAATTTTATAGAAATAAATTGTCTTTGCTTTCATGCTTTCTGCATCCAGGTGCAGAAATGATTCTTTTGCTTTAAGGTTAAACGTGCTATATGAGCAATGGAACTGTAATATTTCATGAATTTGCACCATGCACAGATAAGTTATTTGTGCTGACTTAGATTAAGATACCATTTCAAATTGTAAAGTTTAGTTTTTTTAACTTAAATTTTTATTTTTTAAAATCAAAGCATACAAATCCCAAATACAGAACTGTAAAGGGGAATCCACCTCCCTTCCGTAATAGTCATATTCAGTCTTGGGAGAAATCATCCTCATCACACATACAATCTTTAGAACCTTTCTTCCTAAGAAATTACTTCTAAAACTACTGAATATTGGGTTGTACTCCAAATTCATAAATAAAATTTCAAAATACAATGTAGGATGCATGTTGGGATTCTTGTACTATACCATGTCAAATAAACCTACAATGATGTACAAAAAAACTGCCAGTTTAACCAGACTTCTAAATACAGACATTCATTAATGATCTATCTCCCATTCTACTGGGTCTCCCACCATAAATATGGATTCTGAGGTTTTGAACACAGGTTTCTCCATCTTTAAAAGGTAAGAATATGCTTGCCCCAAGTTGCATTTATTAAGAATAGATTACTGCTTTGGTCAGTCTTCAATAATGAGATTATCTTATGTTGGGTGTTACTGTGTTTCAGCTGAGATAATTATTAGAACCTCCAGAATTCTATGCTAGTCAAATGCCACTTCATTTAGTTTCATCTGAAACTCAACAGTGTAAACAGGTGTCTAACATGAGGCCCACACGCAGCCCACAACACTCCTGGGTATGGCCCAAACCAGATTAAAATTTAATTGGGAAATATTTATCAAAGTAAACAAAAATACAATAAAGCATAAGTCAGTATGTCAGCATGGCCCATATAGGGATCCGTATGTACAGGATAATAGCTCCATTTCTATTTGTGTTGATAGCACTGGTGTAGGTAGCCAAAGTTCATTTCTTTCCTCCCTTGTTTCCCAAAGCCAATCAAGTCTCTGGGGGCTACTATGGAATGACATTCTCCCCTTATGAGGTGGGGGGGGAAATAGAGGGAGGGAGACACAGACAGACAGCGTCAGGAATAAAACTATTTAAACCTAACCTATTGCCTGCATGTATTGCTACTCACATTTAAGCCAAGCTGTGTCCCTGTTTTTATTTTTTCCAGGTTGCATAAACAAAAATTTATAAAGCACAAATGTTACCTTCCTTTTCTTAAGCTCAATTATTGGAGGTCAAATAGTACATGTAAAAAATTTCAGTCTGTAAATCAGCTATCTCGGTCTCTTGTATGTGTTTATGAAAAGTCATCCTCCTCTCAACAGCTTATAAGATCCTGTAGCTCTGGTAACCTGACTACTACTACAGAAAAGCTTATATACATAAAGCTGCTTCAGGACAGTTAAGCCCATAGCTCTTCGCAAAGAATAACTCATCTTGTCTCTCCCCTGGTACTGCTGTATCCAAACATAAGACCTTCGAGTTTAAGTCTGCTGACATAGCCTTCGGACCTCCGGTACGTTACCCTGGAATGGAAGCTTTGGTTCTTCCCTGAGCAGTTACCTTAAATACAAGTTAACCATCACATGAATAAGCAACACCAAGGTTAATGTTGCCACCAAGTCTTTGGAAGACAGGCATTCTGTACAAGATGGAAGGAAATTAAAGTGTATTTAAGAAACTGATTTACCTTTAAAAAGATTTAGAAGTTTAAAACAGTTCTTTACATGCCAAGCATGCACACAAAAGGGAACTGAAGAGAGGCTTAAGGAAGGGGATTGGGGGGAGGAGATTGGATGGAATAACACGATTGGATCATTTGGCTTTTCCCCTGTGCCTACAACAGATCTTAGAAGTATAGCACACTGAGGTAGTGAACTTGCTGTCTTCTAGTCTACTACTGTCCTCGCTATGTAGTTTAGAGGAATACCTATGCCTGCCTGTCATCTTAACTACCTACCTACCTCACAAGGATGTTGTGAGGAATTTGCTCAGTTTGGATTTTAAAAATCTATACAGTTACATTCTGAGTGAGGTTATATGCCACATAAATTTCAAGATACTGCAGTTTAATTAAAAAAATCAATTCAAACATTCATTTTTTGTTCAGCTGATTTTCTGAATTATTACTTTAAAAAACAATTCTGAATGCATGTTATAAGTTATGCTTGGGAATCAGGACTGGGTTCAAATCCTGACTATGCCATTTACTTGCCCAATGTCACACTAATAGAAACAACCTCTCTGAGCCTCAATTTTCTCATCTGCACAGTGAGACTGAACTATATGACTTTCAAGGTTTCTTCTTCTTATTCTACATCAGTGATATAATCTATAAAATAACATGTCTAGCCAAAGTTACATATATTTTTAAAACCAATGTACAAGAAGCAAAATTCATGTGTTCCAGAAGATACAGCTAACTATATATGCAATTAAAATGTAAAAGTTAATAATGTTAAACCAGTAGGCTGTTTTTGGATAAGTGGAATAACCTACTGAAAGATAGTTTTTGTCTTTAGAAAACCAAGCCAAATAACCAAAGTAGTATTTCTCTTGTACTTTTACATGTTACATGTATTTTAAAGATAAAAAAATTTACAAAGCCATTTTTCATAACAAAACACGTCCAACATTTGGGCCATACCCAGTTTTACCATGGAGCACTGTACCTGATTTCACAGCAATGACTGAAGTCAGAGAGTTGAGGTGAGTTAACTTTATTTTTAAAAAATATACAGAAGTGACAATGTGCAAACATCAAATTAAGCAGGACCAGTTAAAATAGTATGAACCTCATTTATAAAAACAGCATTTCTCGATTTGCACAAAGTGAAAACTGCAAAAAAATAAGCCGTGTCTTAAATCAGAGTTGTCATTAACCTTGAAAGTAAGTCTGCTCTTTTCCATGTTCTGCAAACCACAAGCCCATGAAACACTGGCTATCCCATCACACCTTACAAAACAGTTCTGATACTTGATCAAAAAAAGCTATTATACAAGACATTTACATTAGAAAAAAGAAAAGTGGGGACAGGAAAGCTGGGTTGTGTTGTTCCATTTAAAAATAAACTACTCCACAGTTAGGACATTTTTGCCTTCTCAAAGCAAAACAGCAGATAAATCCAATGGGAAACAAGAGAATGGCCAAGAGGATACCTAGGCAGGTGAAGGACTCTTCCAAAACACCAACTCTGTTGAGGGGGGAAGAAAAAAAAAGAAGTTATACATACATCATAAGACAGTTTGATTTCAGAGTATTGTTGGGAACTTGCTATAACTTCTTCCTGGATAAAAACAACCATTTTATAGATGCAGAAACTAAGGCTCAGATCGCTTATTTGACTGCTTCATCTACTTTCTCTTATCTGCCACAGTCAGTGGACATATGGTTTATGATTTAACAGCTACCACACAGTCAAAGGAAGAGAAGCAACAACATTTAACTAAAGGGAGCTTTCATCCATAATGATAATTCATTTGGTCCAAAGACATAATTTCATGTTAGTGTACCATACTGTAGACTATTTACAAAAACAGTATCTATAGCCTTCAATTTAATAGCTATGTTTCAATCAAAAGTAAAACCATCTGAAAAGGTAATAGTGATTTCATGATGGGGAGGGGAGGTATTACGGTAAGGACCCACAAACATTTTTATTCATTGGCCATAAAATTCATCTCATTCCTCTACATCAACCAGGACCCAGAAGAAGAGGGGAAAGGCAAGAATTTGGACATATGGTAAATACCATTTACTATATCCTATGTACTTTAGTACTAAAATAAAGCTGAACTTTTTGCAAAATCCACAGACTACCCATTAAGTCAGAATGAAGCACACTCAGTATTTCACATAGATCATGCACAAGTTTTACATACAAAAACAATCTTCCTTACAAGAGAGAAGGGAAAGTGAAGAGACTTTTAAATAAATCTTTCCTTCTAGACAAGGAAACGCAACGCAAACTCTTCTATAACTGCAAGCTACATGGTTTCTTGTAAAGCATTTTACATGGCTTCCCACAGTCAAATGTTAAGGCTGCATCAGTCACTACATCTGGAAGGCCAGTTTCATGAGAAAGTTTAGCTCCATTTTTTATGTATGGTGCCCTGAAATTTCCTGCAAGAATTTCACCTACATAATGAGCAACTGTCTGTGAGTCTATGGTGAAGTGATGGAGTTTTTGAATCACCTCTGTCTGCAGGATAAGGAACTGAATGCTACTAACTTTGCAGCTGCTCTCCAAACAGTTTCTGGACAGAGTCAAACTTAAAAACAACTGCTTAAATAAGAGTTCCAAATTCATTACTTTCCAGCAGTTGCCAACCAGACTTCCCGGACAAGGTAACACAAAAGGTAGACATGGTTTTCTCCCTCCAACAAGACAAGCAGCTAAAGAGAAAGTGAAAAACGAGATTAACTGATATCCTCAATCCCTGAATGAACCACTTCTATCACTGAGAATCACATGAGAATCAGCTGCAAGAGGAAGAATTGTGAATTAATAAACAAGAAAGCAAAAAAATTATAAATAAAAACCAAAGTTAAATCTCTGGAGAAATAAATGCTATGACTTCACATTCATTTCCCCACCCTCCCCTCCCCCCTGCCCTTTCCTAATTTAAAACTATTATCATTCACATCTTTACCTGGTCCCCAGTTTAAGTTTGTCTCAAATTCCTGACAGAGTCAGGAAACCAGGGTTCTTGTCCCAGGTCAGACCTTGACTATCTACATGAGCTATCTCTGGCCCTCCCTTCCGGTGCTAAAATGCCATAATTATGCAAAAGAACCCTCCCTGATCTGTGTCAAAACAAGACGATGTTGACAACTGCAGAGACCTCACTCAGAAGAGGCAGAAAAGCAACCTCATTCTAATCCACTTGGCCTGGATGGAACTTTACAAGAGCTTAAAATATGTATTATTATATTCTCCTGATTCCTGGGTGTGATAAGCCTTATCCTTGAGCCAGGGAAGTAGATCATGTGCATATCACAGGCTTTCAGAAATACGTCATTTAGTCTTAGGCTCCTCTCCCTTTTGTTCAGCAGGACATGCAGCCTTTCTTTTAAAAGGAAATTAAAAAAAAAAATTTTAAGGCTTTTTATCCCAGAAAGAACAGGTATAATTTTTCAAGCACTTAATAAGATTAAAGTATGCTACTGTCGGATTTCTAAATTACCCAGATAACTTCTGTTCTAATTTAAATGTCAAATATGCCCATGTCCGTCCATCCATCCATCCATCCATCCATTTGTCCCCAAATATAATCATATATATCTCCTGCCTTCTATGGCTAAGTTCCTTGTAGGTGCTCTCACTTCCTCTACTTTCACTCTCTTCTTAATGCTCTACAGTCTGGTTTCCAATCTCATCATTCAACTGAAACTGCTCTCTCAAAAGTTACCACTGATCTCAATCTAATGGCTCTTTCTCAATCCTCATCCTTCTTGATCTCTTCACAGCCTCTGACACTGCTGATCACCCTCTTCTTGATACTCTCTTCTCTGTAGGTTTTCAGGACACTACCCTCTCTCCTGGTTTTCCTCCTACTTTTCTGACCTGTCCTCAGTTTCCTTTGCTAGATTCTTTATCCAGATCATGACTGCTAATTGTTGCAGTTTCATGGTGTGTTGTGAGGTCGTCTCAAAGAATTCAGAGTCAGACCACCTCTAATCCAAGTATAGGCATTTATTGAGGACTGACACCCCTCAGAACCAGCAACTTAGTAAGACAATACAGGCAAATTTATAGTGTAATGTTCCTGATTACACAACAGAAATTATTAATATTAAAAAGGCAGGAGGGATTTGTTAAGGGGTTAGGTAATAGGGGAAGGGTCAAACATCCTGGTGGTGCTGCTTTCTGATTGGCTAGCTATTGTAGTCCTGTCTAGTCAAGATGGATAGTTAGGTATTATGGTCCTGTCTTGGGCTAAATGGATGGTGTGATTGTGGTTGAGCACAAGAACACACCTGTTTAAACACATGAATTGGATCTGGGGGCAGTGGCTGTATTGAGTCTGGGGGCCTGACATGTGGTTAAAGCCAGACTGTATGGTTAAATCAGGACATGCCTGCTGTTCAGTGGGGCCCATAAGGCAGTTAGAATGTTCGGGCTGGGGGCAGCTTTATTAGGATTCCATCACTAACCGTAAGTGTTCAATAAGGCTCTGTCCTATGCCCTCCTCTTCTCCCTCTACACTATTTCACTTGGTGATCTCATCAACTCCTAAGGATTTAATTATCTCTATCCTGATAATTCTCAAATCTACTTATCCAGACCTAACCTCTCTGCTGACCTCCAGTCCCACATCTCCAACTGCCTACTAGACATCTCAAAACAATGTCCTATAAAAATCTTAAATTCAGCATGTCCAAAACAGAACTCATTATCTTTCCCTTCAAACCCTCTCCCTTTCCAAACTTCCCTGTTACTGTTGAGAACACCATCATCCTCCCAGTCACCCACGCTTGAAACCTAAATGTCATCTTTACCCCTAACTCTCAATCTCCCATATACAATCTGTTGTCAAGTACTATCTATTTTTACCTTTCTAATATCTCTTACATACAATCCCTTCTATACTATGAAACTGCCACCACCCTGGTGCAAGCCCTCATCACCTCATACCTGAACCTTCTGGTTGGTCTCACTACCCCCAAGTCTCTCCTCACTCCAATCTATCCTCCACTCATCTGTCAAAGTGATCTTCCCAAAGTTCTGACCACGTCACACTCACAAACACACCCCTAACTCAATAAACTCCAGTGAATCCAAGATCGAATATAAAATCCTTTCATAAGCTAGCCTCCTTGCCTGGCCCCTCACACCCCAACCTTTCCAGGACTCTTCCATCCAGTGAGACAAGAAGCTCAATCTCTCACCTAAGGGCATTTTTCACTGACTGTCTCTCATTCAGAGAATGCTATTCTCCACCCCCCCCACCCCACCCCCCCCACACACACACCTCACAACCAATATCTCTGCCTCCTGGCTTCCCAGCTTCTACAGGAAGCCTTTTTCAATCCTTTTTTTAAAAATAAATGTTGAGGCAGCTAGGTGGCACAGCACCAGCCCTGGAGTCAGGAGGATCTGAATTCAAATCCTGTCTCAGACCAGACACCTGACACTTAGTAGCTGTGTGACCTTGGGCAAGTCACTTAATCCCAACTGCCTATAAAAAAACAATAATAATAATAATAATAAATTCTCCCTATTTAAAAAAAACCAAATGTTAAAAATTGTTTTTCACATGTAATTGGGAAAAAAATAAAATATTAAAAAGAAAAACATTCATTTTTTAAATTGTTTATCTTCTCAAAGAGGGAGGGAGAGAATTTGGGACTTAAAATATTAAAAAAGGAATGCTAAAAAAAAGATAAATGGAACAAAATATAAAGCTAACTTTTATAACATTAATAATGGATTAAACATTCCAATAAAATGAAAGGAATGACAGACTGAATAAGGGGAAAAAATGCTGTGCATATCTGAGGGACAATTATTGTAAAGCCAGTTCTCTTCCACTGGCATACATCTGGTTGATAAAGAAAAAATAATTTGTAATATTGAGGAGAATATAAAATGACATTCTAATTCTCTTGCATAAAGAGCTCAAACCAGCCAAATTTGTCCATAAATGGCTTCATAGTTTCTACCTTCACACCCAATAGTAAAACTCAATTTGGATTTTACTCCACAAGCATCTATTTATTTAACACAAATTATGCAAGGCATTATGCCTATGGTGCTGGAAACACAAAAATGAACTGTTCCTGCCCTCAAGAAGCTTTCCTACTTCTGGATTTAACCAATCATCTAGTCTACAATAATGCCAAGTTGAGTAGCCTGCCAACTTGATAAGGGTAATTACTAGTGTCTTCTCAAGCCCTGGAGGATAATGAACTACTGAGGATGATGTTAACTTATACCGTTCTACCATGAAACTTTCCTAACAGTAATACTTCAATCTGGAAACTTCTAACTCATTCATTTTTCGAAACATTAACAGTTATAAAAGTAACATTAAAGGCACTATCAAAAAAGAATCAGAACAACATTAATGCATTGGTGGTGAAGTTGTGAACTGATCCAACCATTTTAGAGACCAATTTTGGAACTATGCCCAAAGGGCTATAAAAATGTGCATACCCTTTGACCCAGCAATAGTACTTCAAGGCTGTATC